AACAGTGATTCCCAAACTTTTTGGCTTGTGACTCCCCAACATAAATATCTAAAGACTCAAAGACTGACTCTTCATCTACTTTTTTAAGCCTAAAGGGGTAAAATTATCCAAAAATCCAAAGGTAAAAAAAAAAATGAAGAAAAGTCTGATAAAGTAAACCTAGACATGTGTAGCTGAAATATGTGTTTTTTTCTGAAGTCCTGCTCTGTTTATCTTCTCATGACCCCTCAGATTAATTTGGCAACCACTCAAGGCCTCTTGGCCCACAGGTGGGGAACCAATGTTTTAATGAGTTGATCTTACTCATTAGTTCCTCCTCTCATATCAAAACTGCATTAAAGTGGAATCAGACAACTTTTCAACTTTGTGGTATTCTTGTTGGCACCGACTGTTGCAAAGAAAATTGGATTGCTTTGTTTTCTACAGAGGCTAGCAACTACCACAGTTACTTTGGTTGTTCCACCGTCCACCATTTCTGCTACTGGGTATAGGAATTGCAAAGAATTTACACTGATACTCTTTGGTAACTGGAGTTAGCTCCTGATAGCTATCAGGGAAACAAAAGTGCTATCCTCTTCCCGTTTTGGTTGCACAATGGTTGACGTACTTTTTTGGGCTGTAAATCAAGTCTTCATTCTCCTGGGAGATTGTGTCCAGTAGTAGCAGACAGAATTACATAGTAAAAGAGAGGCTTACAGGCTTACTGTGTAAACCCTGATGGTGTCATTATTCTGTGGCCTTTACATTGTGCGAGGGATGCACGATATTGGATTTTTTTGCCAATATCTGATATGCCAATATGTAACAACTCATTTGGCCGATAACCCACACCGATATCGGTATATCCACTTTATTTCCCTACCTAATATTAGTGATCATCAGGTCTCTTCTGTAGTGGAATTAAGATCATATTATGCATGCATACTCTAATCACAATGGCCCACCAGCAGATGGAGACATGAAATACATTGCTTTTCAATGTATGTAATATTCATTCATTATGCAAAATAAGAAAAAGCATGTTGGCTGATTCTGATTGTTCATTTTAAAGTCAATATTGGCTGATACCAATGACGTGCCGATATTATCGCGCATCCCTATATTGTGCAATCAACATTTACTTCATAATGACAAGTTAAAGCAGAAGAAGGGGTCTGTTTCCAGTGTAAATCACTGAAGTCACCTTTTGGTTGGAAAGAAAAACCTGTTAATATCTCCTACTGTCTTTACTTTGAGAGCCCAAAACTATCTGAAGAACAGATTTAAAAGGGCACTCAAGTATTTAAGCACTTTAAGAAGAAAAATACTGAAGAACCATACAAGTGTTTTTGTAGGTTTTAGCCTAATAATTTCACAGTGTTTTAGCGTTTTAGACGTCTTTCTTCTTTTTCTTTGACTGCTGGTTGTTTTCGTTTTGTTTTAAGCCTCCTATTCTGTCTTTGTTTTTTTGTAGCCCTTCCAGCTGGCTCAGGTACAGTCTGTGATGAAACGAAGCCACTGAACAGTAAGTTCTTTTTCTTCTGCAATATCCCTCTGTACGTGCGTAATATTATATACCTGAAACATGGACATCAGTCTTATTTGAAAGGACATGTCTTTGTACTGGTAGATAGCACATAGGAAGGTTTCCATGCATGGAACTGATTATTATTAATTAAGATTTCGGATCAGCATCTGTGATAGCAGATACCTGAGGAGGCATATAAGTGTAAAAAGATAAAATGAAGTAGAGAATGCTGTTTTGATATTTGTCTGTTGGACTAAAAATGTTTGGGACAGGGACAATAAAAATCTAAAAAAAATCTTAATAAAATCTTAATATATCTCAAAATATTTTAAAATAAATCTTTTTAGGGCCACAGTCAGAACACCTCCCAGCCCTTAGGTTTGTTGGACCAAGCATTAGATTAACTGATTTATGTCATTTTGGATAAGACACTATACAGGTGTACAGGCATCAAATAATTAAAATGATCAATAAAATCAAATAAAATAAAGTGAAAGTTAATGTTTTATTTAATCCCTTACTGAGATATTTAGCATTTTCTGATATTGTAATAATGTTTTTCATGTGGTAGCAGCCTAAATTCATTTAGAGAGGCGTAATCTCACATTCATGAGTTCAATATTTACTTCATCATTTGCTAGATTGCCCTGTTTTTTTGTTGCCCTTTCAGTCATTACTGGGGTCATAAGTCATTCTTGACTGGAAGTATTTGAATATGTAAGGAGATTAGGGATGCACCATATGGATTTTTTTTCAGCCAGTACCATAACCTATAATCACCTGCTTCTCGTGGTTGATAAGATAACTGATAATTTCACATTTTTGTATTATTAAAAGTAGTTTATGTACACCTGAGGGTAAGAAAGGTAAGATGTAGTAAGCCAAGGTGGATGGTTAAATATTCCATAGCCCTGACCTAACCAAATCTGACATCACTATTGTTAACACAACAAAAACAAAGATGAGTTCTGGCTCTTCAAATGTTCACTTATTTTTTCAGATAAAATAGATTAAAAAACTTCTCCAACCCACTTTAGTTGTTGGAGAGAATTTTGCCTAAGAGTTGAAATTAAATGCTTCAACATAATCTGTCAAAACAGACATTTCAGTGGGTCATCCACAAGTTACGTTAATTGAAACAGAAAGTAAAGTCCGTCCATCTTCCCGCAGAGACACTGGAGACAACTGCTGTGGGTGTGTGAGCTCTGCGCTGAGGACAGTTGTGTCAGAGGTCCCAGGTCGTTCTTGAAAAAGAGATTTTTAATCTGACCTGGTTAAATAAATGATATATACATATAGAGTCTGCACACACAAACACACACACAGAGCCAGTATGTTTACATGACATTAGAGAAAATCGATTTATTGTATTAGTTCGACTAAAACCAGGCTTTTAAAATACATGTAAACCTGTTAGTTCAGCTGAAATCATATTAAATCAAATTTCTCAAAGCCAGACTAACACACCCAGATAATGCAATTGGGAGTCAAATTCCTCCTGCTTGTATACAGTCAATCAGACCCAAATTGGCCGTGACGCTCTGCATATGCTCCACAGTTTCCACCCTGGGCTTTGACCCAGAAATTGATTAACACTGAATGCGTAACGGAAGAAGAAGAAGCTGGTAACAACCTGGCAAAATCTACATCCAGAGCCATGCATTTTTGGATGGACGAAAAGTTCAGACCTGTAAAGTTGTCCACCACGGTACCAGTTTGCCATTAGCTAACTGTAGCTAACTTGTTTGTCGATTGTTTGGTCTGTGACATAATAGGCCAACCGGAAAAAGGTCCAGTACTAACAAGCTGAAAGGGTGAAAGGGGGCCTATCGCCACCCATCGTAGCGGAGCTTGACACACTTTGGTCAATAAATCGATTGCCCTCCCATGCTTGTATATGTAGACAAGGACCGAAGTCTAATTAAATGGCCAAGTCAAGCTATAACTGTGGCTCGACTTAACTGTGCATGTATACGTGCTGGTGACAGGGCTAAATGTAGCATCACATGGTAAGTGTTAACAACAGAGTTGAGTCTTTTTGGTTTGAGTTTATCTGGACCGTTTAAAGGCTCAGTGTTGGATGTAAGCCGCTGCTGCTTTGTAGGTTTGTGCTAACTTAATCTAACTAATCATTAGCAAAGGTAATCACAAACATAAATAAACTAAACAAACTGCCATTATCATCACTAACCGTTGTAGTATTATGGTGTGGTTTGTCCAAATGGTGTTGCCATACCCTAGTTGCTTGAATGTTGTGGGTAGGTGCAATCAACGTCAGCCGCCTTACTGTCTCTCTGTTTGATTACTTTTAAATATATTAAAAACTGAAAAACTAGAATGTAAACCCTACGCACCCCTGCAAATTTTGTCCCCCCTAACCCATTTGAATCCTACAGCGTCAGTTGAGCAGCCAGCAGTGACCCTTCATCCTCCTGCTGCACTGCTCCCTCCACTGGTTTGTTCATTATTTGAAAATCCTGATGTTATCCAGCTGGCTTATTTATTTTTATCTCTCTGCATGAGCGATAGTTATGACCAGAGGCATTATGTTTTTGGGTTGTTCGTCCATCCCACTCTCATGAACGTAATATCTCAAGAACATCTTGAGGGATTTTTTTTTTTTTTTTTTTCAAATTTGGCACAAAGAAAGCCCCTTGAAACTGTGCTTATTGTATAGATCTTCTGTGCTGCTGAGGGTGTGTGAAGCAACCATGTTTTCACAAAAATCGATGTAAACTATATGTGCAACTTGGCGTGTTTGTGGAGGCATACAACTGCATGGTGGTAATTCTAGCCACTGATTTTTGTGTTTTCTGGAACCATTCAAGAAAGATGAATGAGCCTGAGTAAATCCTTACTTGCTCCCATTGTAATTTACAGTGACAATAATTCATTTTGACTGACTGTCTCAGATTTCAACAACCAGCTGGTCGAGCATAAAATGTGATTGAAATGTGGCTAGAAATTGCTCCAGCTCCATACTTTATGCACAAACAGGAAAGTTGTCTTTCTAATTATCACCCAAGCAATAAAGCAAATTTTCAGATTTCCCAAAATGTTAAACTACTCCTTTAAGTAGTGCTTTTGAGTGACAAGAGGATAAGTAGATCACAAATTTATTTTCATTTTATGGGTTTGAATGGAAACTTGCAGACTCTTCAACCAAAGTAATTCCTAACTGAAAAATAGTTTTTCTGTCCTGTTTCCAGCTGAAACAACTTACCACACCCTGGAGGATGGAGGTGTGGTGGAGTATTGCACCACCACTGTAAGCGACTCCACTCCCACTGTGGTGACAGCCGTTGAGGCTCCAGTGGAGATGCTGGCCTCATCCTCAGCTTCCCCGCCTCCGCCACAGGGTCAGGCCAAACCTCAGGAGCTGAAGAGCCGCATCGCTCTCAACTCAGCCCGTCTGCTGCAGGAGCAGAGAGTCACCAACGTCCACATTCGACAGATTGCCCAGCACCTGGAGGGCCAGAACGAGCTGCTGCAGATGATGCGACGCTCTCAGGAGGCACAGGCATTTGCCCAGGAAAGACAGGCCCAGGCCCTGGAAGGTACCCAGGCTGCCCTGCTAGCATTAGTGCAGATGCTCAGGCCTGCCCTGAAAGACCTGCGCAAATTCCTGCAGAGTGGGACAGAGGTCGCAAATTCCAGCAGCTTGGCAGCAGGAGCAACAGCTGACGGAGCTGGAACAGAGGAGCAGAGCAGGCCTAAAACACCTCCACCGCCTCCACAACAAGCTGAGGAGACACAATAAAAACTGTGTCTGTGTGTCTGTTTGTGTATGTGCGTGTGTTTGTGTGTGTGGCACTGCCTCCAATCTGCATTGTACATAGAGGCGTCCATGCACATAGACTTAAATGTACAAAGAAAAGTTGTCAAAAGTTGCCTTGGATTGAGCGTGTACAGAATTTAATATATGTTTTATGATTCAGAAAAAGGTTATGTTTTACACAATACTTTTAGTTTTTACCTTCCGTCAGTAATTAGCAGCTTTTAAGCTTTTAATGCAAAGATGAAGGCAGTTACAATCCCAGTGTGGGATAAACATTTAATTCTTAGTTCCTTTAAGTCATCCTGCAGTTTCCCCTGAATGAAGAGTAATCTATTCTTTTTTAAAGACCAGAGTCAGCTGGAGTCTTTAGTTAGTGTGCACTTTGTCTTCAGTACTGAATAAAATTTGAGGAAAATCATCAGTGCTGTGTTTTCCCTACAGGGTGCATCACTATCAATCAACCACAAGAGGTCAGTGTGTGTAAGCAAGTGTCATGACTGATGGAGCAGCAGCATGTTTCCAAATTAACTATAAACTGGGATGAAATCTGTATGTTATGTGAAATACAGTATTTGCTTTTAAAATTTGATTATCACAGTCATATACTTTGTGTTTTTTATTACAGTTTTTCTCATTTGTTTACACACAAATACTGGTACTTGAGACACAATGACCACAACATGTAACTCATGCACCAACCCCCTGAACCAATTCTGCTAAACTACAAGCACAATTCCTGCTTTACACTCAAATTGCAGTTCTAAAACACATTTTTTTCAAATCACTACACACAGTTCTCTGCATTTGGCACAATTTTCATGAAGAAAAGCTCTTGTTTTCACAAAGAACACACTGTCATTCAAAATTCTTCATTCAAAGTTAATTGCCCTACTATGCACACTGACTCATCACATGGGCAAACACCTGTCACACAGTTTTACAATTAGCAATCAGAGCTTTAGCATAAAAGGGCAACGGGTGGCTCTGCCTCTGTTTCCAATGTTGGCATCCATTGCTCCAAAACAGAAAAGCTCACCTCTGATGAGATCCGAGCCACTTTTTCTGCCTGGAGATGGAAAGTGTATGACCGAAATCCACAAATACGTATACCCCTTCTCCAAGCTATGGAAGACGCATGTGGAGATATAGCAGTTGATGCTTTTCATGGCTGGATTCGCCATGCTAGGCGATATTTCCCCCGCTGCTTGGCCAGGGAAAACATCGCCTGTGATGTGGATGAGGTGCTGTGGCCAGACCGAAACAGAAGAGAGGATGCAGCATAGTTTGTTTTTTGTTTTTTTACTGTAACTGTATACAGTAAATTCTTCTGTTGTTTTGTATGTAGACCACTGTATGTGTAACTTTGTGTTGGTTGGAATGTACACTGTGTACATTGTTTTTGTGGGAAAAATAAAATATATTTGTTACCGTGTATTTGTGTGTTCTGAGTATAAAAACAATATTCTAAAATATTTTACAACACACTTATATATGTACTGTCTGTAGTGTAACACTGAACAAAAAAAAGGCCTAAGTCATTATGATGAATGGAGAAGAAGTGTTTTCCATTCATCATAGTGTTTTACATTGAGCACATCAGTGTTCAACTGGTTCTTATAAATGTCTATTCATATGATGGTTTGTGTGTGTCATTTGAAAACAAAATACCATTTTGAGAAGAAATAACATTGTTTTGAATGTAAAGTTTCATTTTGCAGGAGAATTGAGGGGTTTTGCCCATTGTGTGTGTGTGTTTTGATTTGTGTGTAGAGTTCTGAGAGTATGAGGCATGCTTTCAGAAAATGTGTGTAAACAATCGAGAAAAACTGTAAAGGTAGGGTCTGGAGGATTTTCCAGTTGCTGTTTGTAAACACACATTCAAATTTGGCCCCTCCTATCAGGCTCAACTCTCCCGGGTGTACGGAGCCCGGAAGTACGGAAGAAGGCTTCACAGAAGAGGTGCAGGCAAGGCTCGCGCTGGTGCACGCTCGGACACGCTCGGGCACGGCACCTGCGCTCTCTCATTGGCTGGGGAAATCTCCGCCCATAAGCGGTCCGAGCTCACAAAAACATCAAAATACAGTTAAAAGGCAGGAGCTCTGCAAACAGAGTCACCCCCACACATGAGTAGAAGCCCATAGGTGATGATTAAGCAGGATTTCATTTGTATATGTCTATATTTTGTTTTGTTTGAAAATCCTCCAGATCCTACCCTATCCCTAAACATAGGGAAAGTAAAATTAAAATTCCCTTAAAGGGTATAGATTTCTGATACAATAACCTAAAGACATTCCTGTTATTAAAGGTCCAGTGTGTAAGATTTAGGGGGATATTGTGGCAGCTAGTGGTGAGGATTGCAGATTGCAACCAGTTGAAACTTCTCCTGGTTAGAAGTCATTGTTCAGGAAGTTTTTTCTGGGAGTCGATTATCCACAGAGGTGTCTTCCTCTCCTAAACAAACAGACCAGGTGATTCAAACCAGTAAAAACTCTGAATAAAGCAGTTTCACGTTACAAATCAGCGTTTCTCCTACCCTGTTTGACACATCACAAATGTCTCGCTTGCACCTGCGCCTGGGGACGGCAGTAGCTCAGTCCATAGGGACTTGGGTTGGTAACCGGAGGGTTGCCTGTTCAAGTCCCCATCCGGACCAAAAATATGGCGCGTGGACTGGTAGCTGGAGAGGTGCCAGTTCACCTCCTGGGCACTGCCGAGGTGCCCCTGAGCAAGGCACCGAACCCCCCAACCGCTCAGAGTGCCTGTCATGGGCAGCCCACTCTGACATCTCTCCACTTAGTGCATGTATAGGTCCAGTTTGTGCATGTGTGTGTTCGGACCTGTGTGTAATTGACAACAGAGTGAAAAATTGAATTTCCCCTCGGGGATTAATAAAGTATAAAAAAAAAAAAGTGTGCTCACCTATTCCCTTGAATTTCCTGGACCCATTGAGCTAAGCCGCCAAAGCACTGAATAAAGCAGTTTCACGTTAAGTAATCTGTGATTCTCCAATGCCACTAAACTATCACCTGCTAATGTGTGCTCACCTTTTTAATTTTTCAACTTCAGATCCGTTTTTTACCAGGTTTTATCCATAGAGGTCTACTCCTCTTCACAACAAAACATGATGATTTAAACTGGTAAAAACACAGAAAAAACAGTTTTTTGGATACTCATCGTGGAGGGGCTGCTAACATTAATGCCCCTATCTAAGCCAGTGTTTGGTTTGTTCGTTCTGGGCTACTGTAGAAACATGGCGGTGCAACAAGGTGATCTCCATAGATGAGCAAAAGCTCCCTTTGTAGATATAAATGTCTGTAATCCTAATTCTAAGGTCACGAAAACTCAACAATTATTGTCAGGTGATTATACACTAAAGTAAACATACTTATATATCCCCCTAAATCCTACACACCAGACCTGTTAGCTCATTACGTTTCACCATGTTACATTACAATTTAGTCAGCAGCATATCATTAGAATTACTTGCTATTCTACATTAGTTAAAAAAACATAGCTAAAGACAAATGTGTTAAATATGTAAAATGTTACATGTTTTTGAGCTTCTCTGCTGGCAGGTGAGAAATTGCAGTGAGAACAACCTAATGGATGTGCAAAAAGTGGTGTCCTGAGTTTATGGACACCTGAACATAAGCAGTAAATATTTAAGACAAAATAAGTATAAAGAGTCTTAAAATGGTGAAAGCTTATCTGTAAATCAATTGACTAGCAGTGCTTCAGCTGAAGCAAACTTTTAAAAGTGACCCTTAGCATCATCTATTTGATCAGACAGTTGTAATTAGACTTTTTTTGATTTTCTGTTTTGCATGTGCTCCTCTCACTGCAATGAGCAGACAGACTAAGTTAATGGCTAACAGGCGAACATAGTGGAGCATTTGCCAATTTAAGAGACAGCAGTTCTTAATGACGATTAGTGGAAGCTTTAAATGGACTCCTTATAGCTCTGTTTAAGTCTCCACCAAATTCTGTAAGAAATGTCTAGTTCTTCTGCTGCTACGTGCTCCACTATGTTCACCAGCTAGTCTCTAAGGGGCCGTTCAGATGTAGCGTCTTTTGCGCGCACAAATCCATTAGTTTCAATGTAGACGCGCGTCAAACGCGCTCACAACCCAAAGAGACACCGTAGCGGCGCGCATTCGGTGCGACGCGCCTGTTTTTTCGTGTGCGTCCGCGGCACACAGAGATGGAAAAATCTCAACTTTTCTGAACGCAGCAAACGCACTGCATGTCATGTGATAAGAATTAACCAATCAGCTCCACGGACCTGCTTCTTCCTTTCCGTCCAACGGACTTCACAACATTATGTATCTAATAACACACACTATCTCTCTACCAGCATCTCCCTCTCTCCCTCTCCTCCACACACACACACACACACACACACGCACACACACACACACACACACACACACACACACACACACATGCACACACCTCACCTCCTGATGGTTGCTGGAAATCCATTTAACTTTTTTGTAAACTTCGTAACTTTTTTAACACCTCCTGTGAGTGACAGGCAGTTTTGGTTGCTCAGTAACGGCAGGCGCAACAGTAGCGCAACCTCCGAAGCGCCGTGGATAAAAGGATGGAAACGGCACAGCTGGCATTTTCCACGCGCTTTTAGACGCTACATCTGAAGGGGGCCTAACTGTGTCTGTCAGCAGTTTGATTCTGGGAAGGTAGTGTACAGTGGGTTTTTAAGAGCTTTTTTCACTAAGAACAGCTGCTTGTTGCATCTGCAAACATGTATGATGATGTAGTACAGTGAGACACCACTCTGAGAATCGCCACCTTATCGTAGCTAAGGGTTTTGTGGCCACTGTGACCCTGGGAGCTGTGCTGTTGGGGACAGTAGCTCTGTATTGGGTCTCCCAAGGTAAATTGTTCCCAGGGGAGGAGCCAGGCTTAGAGTGATTCAAAAACCTGACATGAATCAGACAAGAAGGAGCTGCAGCACCTTGGAGTCTTCTCCTAGACTGTGTGGTGGCCAAGACTTGAGTCATGGTGCCTGGTCTGGCACAGCCTGGAAGAACCACATGGAGCCACTGCCCTGTGGGTCCAGCATCCACAAGGGTAGGCGTTGGGGTCAGCTGCATTAGGCAGCAGGCAAAGGTTGGGACCAAGGCTTACCGACTCCTGGCATCCCACGCTGGTTTTAGTGACATGGAACATCACGTCTTTGGTGGGGAAGAGTTAGTGTAGGAGATGGAGTGATTAACTAAATATAGTTGGGGTGACCTAGCAGTGTATCTGGAACCAAACTTCTGGAGAGGAACTGGACTTTCTCCTTTACTAAAGTTGTACAGTGTGAGAGGTGCCAGGCAGGTGTAGGGATACCGACAAGCCCCAAGCGCTGTAGTGTTGGAGTTCTCCTCGGAGAACAAAAAGGTCACCTCTATGTGACTACAAGTTGCTAAGAGGAAGGCTTTGATTGTTGTTTGTGCCTATGCACCAAAAAGCAGTTTAGAAAATCAGGCCTTCTTAGAGTCACTGGGTGATGTCCTGGAAAGGATGCCACCCAGATACTGTGTCATTATCCTGGGGGACCTCAATGCTCATGTGGGCAATGAAAGAGAAACCTAGGGAGGGGGTGATTGGGATGAATAGCTTGCCTGATCTAAACCTTAATGGGGCTTTATTACTGAACTTCTGGGCCAGTAATGGATTGGCCATAACAAACATCATGTTCAAGCATCGTGATTCAGTGTACTTGGTACCAGAACACCTTAGGCCAAAGATCAGAGATCGTCTTTATGGTGGTATCATCAGATCTGCAGCCATATTTCTTCAACACTAAAGTTAAGAACTGTCAACTGATCACTATGGTGAGTTGGATAAGATGACAGGGTAGGCTGCTGGACAGTCCTGATAAATCAAACATGTAGTGAGGGTGAAAGGGGAAGGTCTTGCTTCAAGGTCTTTAACTCCGGCCTTGGGAAGAATTTCTCAAGCATCCTGGGGGAGGTTGGGGACATAGAATCCAACTTGGCCATGTCTCCATCGTAGAGGTAATTGTTAGCAGTTGAGGTCAAAAAAATCGGCAGTGTCTGTTGTGGTGGCAACCTGAGAATCTGCTGGTGCACACCGACGCTGAAGGAGGCTGTCAAGCAGAAGAAGGAAGCCTTTCAGACTTGGTTGGCAAAGGGGTATCCTGAAGCAGCAGACAGATACCAAGAGGCCAAAATGGACTTTGCCTAGACAAAAAAACAGATGTAGGAGGAGTTTGGGAGGAAGGCTATGGAAAAGGGCTTTCAAGTGGCCTGGAGGGGAAAGTAGAGCTTGGCTCAGGCTGTGTCCAGCAGGTAGGAACTGCTGACCCTGACTGGAATAGCGTTGAACAATGGAAAGAGTTCTCTCGGGAGTTCCTGAATGTCCTCTGTGAAGGAAGCAGAGTTTGAAGACTCAGGGGAAGCCTCATACATATGTCTGGCAGAGGTCTCTGGGGTCAGTAAGCTCCTCAAAGGGAGGGCCCCAGGTGTGGATGAGATTCACCCTGCAACACTGAAGGCTCTGGACATTGTTGGCCTCTTGGCTGTCTTGGCCGATATGTTTCAACTCGCTCCTTTTGATTTGAAGGAGCAGCGGCTTTACTCTGAGTTCTGGTTGTCTGAGAATTTACTCTTGTCCAACATTTTAACACTGAACTGTGCATATTTCTCATGAATTTTAAAACTGAATGCATTTGGTGTAAAACTGAGATAGTTTAAATCCCTTAAGGCACTGTTTAAAAAACACATCAACTTTTGTGAAAAACAGAACTCAGTCTTGACTGAAGCAATGCCTTTAATGCTTTTAAAATGACTGAGCTCTGTCTCCTGCTAGTAATTCCATAAACATAGTAACATCATGGCAGACAAGCAGGCAGTCAGGCAGTGATGGAAACGGGCATGTTGATAAGAAAATAAAATTATGTTGTTTTTTTTTTCTTAATCTCAGTGGCAACCAAGACATGGATTTCATGTAGACAGCCTACTCAGATTTACTTACTTGGACTTAGTTCTGATGTGCTTAAGACAAGGATATTTCCTGGTAGTCTGTATTTACTAACAGTTATAATACCTCCTGATATTGTCTGTCTCTCTCTGTGACCTAAATGAGGTGTAACTGGAACTTCCTGATGCTGTAGATAACAATGAAGAGGAGCAGAGATAAGAAGAAAGTAAGCTGTTTTATTATGTCATGTAGTCAGTAGTTTGAGATTTTAGGTGCAAACAAACACATTTGCTCATATTTTGCTGTCATATGAATGCCTTCCTTGATTTTTGACACTAGAAGCTACATATTTAATATGTCACTCTCCCTAAGTACCAGCCATACTACGGATCTAGCCCAGTGACGTAGATGGCTCTGCCAAACATTTTATAGGAAGCTCCACTAGTTTGGCCAGCAATTTTTGGCAATTCAAAACCAACTCTAGGGAAGTAATTGGTTCTCTTATGCTCAAAACAAAGCTCCAGGGATTCCCACGTCTCAGTGGGCTGAGCAAGAATTGACACTTCAAAATGTTGAGACTGCTTTCAAATGACCATTTGGAACCTCTGTGGTAACAGCTGCTAAAAAACATGGCAGTTTTATATGAATAAGTAATTATAGATATCAGTCAATAATTAACGATTTAAATGAATATGAACAAATTACAGGTGTGTTCTTGTTTTCTTGAACTTTTTTTTTTCTAAACACTAAGAGCCCTAATTAGCCAGATTTACCTGAAAAGAGATTTCCATCTCAAAGGACTTTCTGGTTAAAAAAAAAGGTTATATAAATGAATAAAAATTCACATGCGGACCCCGATAGTGATATACATTCCACACACATCTCTGATTTATTTAAATTGGAGTGTGGCTGACATTTTTTTTGTGCTACTGGCAGATCCATATTTGAAATAATAACAATTTCAATGGTGACATGCTGTATATGACACTAACATATGGGTATGTAACATAAAAGGGTATATTTATTTATTTATTTTACATATATGTGCGAGTGATACATCACATTTATTGCCTGGCTCATAACTTCAATGAAATGTATTGATTTAGATATATGCCGAGTACTTTTTTATGTATTTTGGTTTTACTGTTATATATGATTAATATTTGCTATGTTCATATATGAAAAAGTTCCAATTTTGAATAGGTTCATACACTAGGCCTGGGATTTTCAACTTGCTTTGCCAGGGGCCACTTTTGAAAAATGACAGGAGGACAGGGGCCAGTCACAGCAAATTCGCATAGGTCAGCTGTATGTAGGGTGTACTTGCTTTTGAGAACATTTGGGGCTTAGCCTGAACCTCTGACGAGGGTCTTGGGGTCTATTTTTCTTGACAAACAGGCTGTATTTTAATGCTTTTTATGCACTGGGGTGCCTTGTTTACATTAGAAGTACAATATACCCCCTCCCACTGTGAATTAATTCAGATGTAACCCCTTAATAATCACCAACATTTTGATTAGCAACTGTAATTTAATCACATATTTTTTCTCAGTAACTGTAACTGACTACAATTACATTTATTTTGTAATTTAATTACTGTAGCTAGTTATATGTCAGTTACTCCCCAACATTGATGGATTTCCATATACCGTAGATTATCCTCCTCCTTACACACCTCTGCTCAGACTTTGTGGACGGTCCCTAACTGAGCTGTGAGACGTTCACGGAGCCGCTCTGACTGACTGTTGTTGAACTCTACCAGAAGGAAAAGTTGGCGAAGATGCAGTGAAACCGAGAAAACTGCCACGAACCCAGACTCCAGTTCTGTGCAGCGGCACACAGCTGTACTGTTTTACCAAGTATGAGGAGCTCACACCGACGGAACGGTAAGGTTTGCTCAAGTTTATGCGACAGGCTGTTGGAGTGAGCCACCGAGTGGTTTCGGTGTTTGCGTGGCAGCTGGTATCTGCTTTGGGAGAGTCTGTTAATGTGAGAGGACAGACCAACCAACACATGATCCTTAAGAAATAGGTCTTACTGCACTAAAAAACATTTAAGTCATCAGTCAAAAATGAAACAGAATGTAGGGGGTGTTGCAATGTGGGATAAATAAATATACTGACCACATGATTTTCACAGCTGTCATTGCAGCAAAAAACGTAACACGCAGCTGCAAATGAAACCGAGCTCATCTTAATGTAGCTGTAACTTCAACAAGTGTTTTTTTTTTTAATTCCAGGTCCAAACTGTTGTTCAGAGATGACTGACCAGAAGGCAAAGAAGGATTTTCAGCCCCCACTTTAAAGCCAAATACAGTATATTTATTTTTATTTTTTTCTGTTTTCATTCATTGGTGTTCATCACACAATGAGCACACTCCAGCAGCTGGGAACGATGTCTTTTTTGATCAAAAAGAAGAAGTTCAAGTTTCAAGTGCACTTTACATTGGAGGAGCTTACAGCAGTGCCTTTTGTCAATGGAGTGCTTTTCTGCAAGATTCGGTTGATTGATGGAGGGGACTTTGCCATTTTGTCATCCAGGTATGTAGAAGAACTTGTCACTTCCTTTTTGTAACCCAATAAATCCTCTGTTGCATACAGTCCACTCTGCTGGTTGCTTTGCTTCCACTCAAACCCTCACTGACGTTTCCTCCACATATGGTAAATATAATTTATTTCCATTTTTAATAGTTGACACTGCTGTTTTCTACAATTAGAGCAGCACCTGATTATGTTGATACACTCTGCCACAAACTAACAACAGACAAAATTGTCTGTTGTTAGTTTTCCACCTTAGATAAGGGATAGTTACAGCTGTAAAACTGGTGTAAAACTGCATGTCTTGCAGTTCAGCCTTTAGTACACCACAGTATGTGTTAATTCACCCTCCTGTCTCCTGGGAAAATTGTCTTTGTGCTGTTTCTCAGCTCCACCCTGGCGTTCACTCACACTGGGAGCTGCCCAGCATTAACACAGTCTTCTGATGCTTGTCTCTCTGTGGGAGTATGTCGAGGTGAGGTGGTTTGCTCAAGGGCTCTTGGGCAAAGTTGTTGAGGGAACAAAAAACATTGACTCACCTGCTAGGATTTAAACTGGCCAGCTTCTCTTAAAGGGGTAGTGCACCCAGAAATGAAAATTCAGCCATTATCTAATCACCCATATGCCGAGGGAGGCTCAGGTGAAGTTTTAGAGTCCTCACATCACTTGCGGAGATCCCAAAAAGCTCACGTGTGTGCACTTGCGTGAGACCATGAGACATGGGCACCGCATTCATGTGTGTTCACGTGCTTTCACTGGTCTCGCACACAAGTGCGCACACCACACGTGAGTGCGCTGTACTGAGAGGCATTTAGAGCTACAGACTACAATGAGGCTAAAAACAGAGTTCAAATGATGTTTTTCCAAACAACTTTTTATGTCAGGGCTTCAGGACACTTGGATCACTACGGACAAGCAGTATGGAGATATTTTGTGGTTTCAATTATGTGTTTTTGGACATTTGAATCTGGGGCGCCGTAAGCCTCCATTAGGTGGAGTTTTGTTGCTACCTCCTCTCCCCTTCGATCTCCGCAAGTGATGTGAGGGCTCTAAAACTTCACCTGAGCCTCCCTCGGCATGTGGATGAGTAGATGGCTGAATTTTCATTTTTGGGTGCACTATCCCTTTAATGTTTTGACTGGTTCACCAAAACACATAGAGGTTATTTCTTTGGTAGAAGGTATATCCAATTAGGGATGCAACAGTATGCCGGATAGAGAATCTCGCCTTTATTTTTAGGGATGCACGGTAATATTGGCATGTTATTAGTATTGGCCGATATTGGCTTTAAAATGAAATAATGGAATCCACCAACATGCCAAAAATATCAGCATGTCATCAGTATCGGTCCATATCAGCTTTAAAATAATCTATCAGAATCAGCCAACATGCTTTGCACAATAAATGAATATCACATGCACTGAAAAGTATTCTATTTCATGTCTCCATCTGCTGGTGGGACATCACAATAATCAATCAATCAATCAATCAATTTTATTTATAAAGCCCAATATCACAAACCACAATTTGCCTCACAGGGCTTTACAACATACGATATCCCTCTGTCCTTATGACCCTCACGGCAGATAAGGAAAAACTCCCCCAAAAAAAACCCTTTAACGGGGGATAAAACAGTATAGCATCATATTATGCATGCATGTAAGGGCATGCATGCATAATATGATGTTAATTTCAAGACAGAAGAGACTTGATGATCACTAAAATTAGGTTGGGAAAAAGCGGATATATCAATAGCGGCATCAGTTATCAGCCAAATTAGGAGTTATATATCGGTGGTTTTAAGTTTCATTTATAGTAATAAAACATTTGTTCAACCAAAAATAACCTTTTTGTTTTCATATCTTTAAGGGTCTTAGAGCTCGTAAGTTGCGTGTTTCCGTTTCCGGTACATGGGACCTTAAAAATCGATTTCTCATAATGCATTTCAATGGCTAGATGAAAATTATTTTCTGGTCCCGTTTGAATTGAGCCATGAATTTCACATGTTGTTTGTGAATTTGTGATATATTTTTTCGTGCAAAGAAGGCTACAATTTGGCAGGAAGAAGTTTGATACTGTTAGGTTTTGTGTGAGAGCGCTTTGTGGACTACAGCTCTTCGCTGCTCTCGACGCATATGATATACGTCACCACTCGCACTTGGAACATGGCTGTGTCTCTGGTACACTTCACAGTCTTCTTCCAAGGAGAGGACAAAAGCATTAAGCGTGGCGAAAACCACTACAAGTCTGGACATGTGGAAAGTTTCAGCTACGCCAGTGGGGAGATCTGATGGCTCCGTAGATCGTGGCAGAAGACGCAGCAGCAGCACTGTGAGTTGAGAAGTGGAGGGAAAGTGTGATGATGTGATGTCACATAGGCGACATGTTGTCTCTCATTACGTTGTTTCCACAGCCTTTAACTGAAGAATCATACAATAAACTGTCAAACTCTTAACATGAAAAAATATTATTTAGATCCACACAAAACATTTGTGTAATCCAAGGCATTTAATGACTGGGACCAGAAAATAATAATTTTCTTTCCATTGACTCCCATTCATATTTTCCGAGCCTAGAGGTCCGATGGGGGTCTACCAGAAGGGGCGTGACTTACGAGCTCTATTCTGACTGAAAGTAATAGTAATTCTGTAATACTGTGATATGTTTAAACTGCAATATTTGTACCAACAGACCAAAAGTTCACAGGTTATCAATCCACGCTTTTGCTATCATTATTTAAATCTGTTGTGTCTTGCACAATGCCCTCTGTTGATGACAAATCCTTGATACAGTGGTTCCACTCAAAACTTGTTAAAACACAGGTTGGTTTGTTAGATAGCACCAAGGCTCCAGGAATAAACAATTGAACCGGTTCAAGAACCAGAGCTAATTCGATGGAATTTGGTATGGGCAGGGGTGACAGTGGTTAGCACTGTCTCCTCAAAGCAAGACGGTTCCTGGGGGGTTCCCTCCCCAGGAGGGAGACCTTCTGTGTTTGCATGTTCTCCCCTTGTCAGCGTGGGTTCTCTCCGGATACTCCTGCTTCCTAGGTTAATTGGTGACTCTAAATTGACCGTAGGCGTGAGTGTGAATGGTTGTCTGTCCCTATGTTTTAGCCCTGTGATAGTCTGGTGACCTGTCCAGGGTGTACCCCGCCTCTCGCCCAATGTCAGCTGGGATAGGTTGCAACGGGGGCAGAAATCTCAGCAACAGATATTGCAAAACCTGACAAATAAAATTGAACCAATCTTCATTCCACTAAGTTTGAAAATATGTTGTCCTCTTGTAGTTCAGGTGAACCGACCCTTTCGTTATTTGCAATTAGCAGTCTTATACCAGATAAAAGGCATCTGATAGCCCATGACCCCCTCTCATTCTTCAGCCATTGGTATATACACACCTCACTGGCATGACTTCAGTAAGACTCACTCTAATTACATTTGTGGCTCAACAGGAGTAAGCTGTGGGGAGGTGCCATGACAGGTCTGCAGGTCTGCAGGTTCAAAGAATAACAGACAAGCCTTGAAGGACCACACCAAAGTTTTTGCATGTTCTGACTCATTTAGAGCATACCATAATGATTTGAATTTGTGAACCTGTTTTTTTCCCCTCCCTTGGTTTTCATTCTTTTCTGTACAGTTAAGAAATCAGCTTGTAGAGACTTAACTTTCTTCACTGAGACAGGAGGATATGCAAATTATCACTTAATCAACAACTTCACTCTCATGGCAGTAAAGAACACCTCGGCATCTAAGTAAATATTCTTATTTGCTGTCTTTCTGGAAAGCTGGGCACCCACTGCATGATTTGAGCCTGTTACTGACAATATTTTTGCATGTTGGACTGAATTTCCGCTTTATTGTTGGGCGTTGTTTGCAGGGCAATGTACAAGGAACAGAGAGGATTGATCATGGCCTGATCAACTGCTCCTAACTAGCCCTTGGATGTTGGGTGAATTCCTGACATCAGATATTTAGGTTGGCCGTCGGCTCTCGCACAGTTGAAGCAGGGCCATGAGCCAATTTCCTAAGATCTGTGCCTTTTTTGTCTCACCTGCACAAAGTGGCAAACAGAGTGTCTAAAAAGTACCGTAGTGAGACAACACGTCATGGGGACAGAAAATATGGAGGCCAGGTTGGTGGAGCTGTGGCGAAAGCATACAGTCGTTTTTGATGTTTCCTCCTCCTCTCTTATCATGACAGATATGAACGAGAGAAACTTTGGTGATGATGCATTACTGTGAACTGATTTGTATGATGTTGCTCCGTCTCTGTCTTCATGTCTAATGTTTAGCATAAATTAACCCTTACTTGAACAATAAGAGTTGGAATTAAGCATCATTTCTAAATTGGGTTCAAATCTCACAGTGTACACCCACCTTAACTGAGATAGGAGTATCAATATCAGTCTCAAGTTTGTGGAGCTGGAGTCGTTAGCCTAGCTTAGCATAAAGACTAGGAGCAGGGGGAAACAGCTAGCCTGTCTCTGTCCAAAGCTAAATAAAACACCTACTAACACCTCTAAAGGTCATAAATTGACAAACTGTATTTTTTTATTATGCATAAAACGGAAATGTAAAAAGCACATGTTTTTCACAAACAGTTGATGTGCCCAGTACTTGTGTGTAGTGTCTCCAACTTTAGAGTGGGTTGCCAGATAATGTAAGTGAGTACAAGTTCTGGTATAGGTCTTGGTCCAAACTCAGAGGTACTAATCCTGGCAACCTCACTGTAACAACAAGACCTCAGGATCTCCGTCTGTTGTTTGCATGGAAATAGGAGGAGCCCCTCACTGCAGTGTGCATTTAGGGGCTGTACTCGATTTGGGTGGAGTCAAACGTTAAGCGCCACCCTGCGTTAGCAAGTCCAACTGCTATACCTGACAGCTAGCTTGCTAGCTGCTACCCCGCGGATCCTCTCTGCCTACTCCTGGCCTACTTGACTGCATTTGCTGTGAGGAGAGTAGATGGCAGCTCCGGAGAGGCATGGGCGGAGTTAAGCATT